AAATGGAAATAAATGTTTTATAGGTATTTAAGAAGCAGTCTGACTACAGCCAGAGATATGTATTACTGTGTAATTCTTGCTCCCTTACAATGGAAATTAGCAGCTGTGTAAGTGTGAAATGACTTACTTAAATACAGCTTACAATGCCATTTATGTCCTTATGCAACAGTACTGAAATGAGAATCTCAGTTCAAGGATTAGAGAACATGTATTCTCTAATATCTTCCACTGTAAATGACTTTTGAAGAACTTTTGGGTAATAAAAGGTTTGGCTACTGAGCCTTTCTGAAATATGTATTAGAAAGTTTTGTGTTTTTTTAATTCATCTTAAATCTTTCTATAAAACATAGTAGTTGAATTTATAAAACATACCAAGCTGAATTGTGCAAGCCTGGCTGCCTACATCCATCCTCCCCACACACTTTCCATTCAAAACAAACAGCTGTTTCATGGGAGACAAAAATTGAACCCTTGCAGAAGAACTTATTTTAAACCTGAAGGTCCTGAAAGTAAGACTTCAGAGAAACCTGACATGCTTCGAAGCATAACAGAAGTTTTGAACTAGCAAACTTAAGTTTAGAATCCACGTGAAGAAAGCCTTTGAAGACATATTGATTAAAGGAATCTTAATTTCTTTTTTGAAGCTACAGCTTCCCAGTCACTGCTTTTTAGAATTACTAGTGTATGTATTTAAAACTAAGCTGCAATACCAACACATCAGGAAGAATAGGCTAAATAAACGTAAAGAAGAATAACAGCCTTAGTTGCTGCATATAATGCATTATATGTCGCATAAATCTTGATATACCAGAGTGAGTATGCAAAAAAAGCAATCTATGTGTTTAAGTAACTTGTTCCTGCTTCTTTCCCTTAAAACAAACGATTGTCCTCAACACTGCAGGCTCAGTGCATTAAGAAATACCTACCTACTTCTGCCTTTTTCTCGTAGTGACAAGGAGGGTGAAATCAGAACATGTAAAGAGGTAACGTCAGTGACAAACCGGCCCAAAAACCTCTGAGAATTGTGAGGTTGCAATAGCAACATACAGAAAACAACTGTGGTGGTATTGGTCCTAAAGTCACAGATAACAGGATCATTCCTAGCCATTTACCAGACAAGTCACATCAGTCGTTACAACTAAATCCATTTCTCATTGTGTTTAATAGGAACAAGTAAGTATTCATCTTTTACATCTGCTCATATGAAGGAGTTACTTTACGATGTGAAAATGGGGAAATCCAGATCCCTGAATATGTTGAAGGATGAAGCCTTAAAAAACAAACACTCAGGTGACACAAGCATTCTTAAGCTATGTCTGAAGGAACCACGATGCAGCATCCTGCCCTCCCCGCCCCAAGCCAGGCTCAGCGTGGAGAAAAGGCACAGCTGCTAAGCCCTGTGCGAGCTCAAACACGTTCTGGCTGCCTTACAGACATCTGTACTGCATCATGTAAACAAGTCCCTCAAAATAAGACAAACAGGAAAGCTGCTGTTCCTGGTAATAGGTTGGCACCCGCTTTCCCTGGTATTACTGCGGCTTATCTATAAAACTGGGCATCTGTCACCAAGACTCCTGTTCCAGTCTCACTTTGCTCATGGTGCTGTGCATTACTCTTCACCCCTGTTATTCCCCAGATGGGTTTTGCACTGCCCACTTGTATAATACAAAACATACAGCAGTATAAGTACAAAACTAGTTGGCAGATGAGTATAAAGCTATTTTGGTAAAATCTTGTAAATACTCCTGCCATACAACAATCCACAGAAAGCACCTTCTGCCTTTCAATTTAAACAAAAGTACTGATCACATCCCAGTATCCTGCTGGAAAAGAAAAGCCAAAGACAAGTGGTAACTCAAAAAGAAATGGACTTTGCTTTGAGCAAGGGTCAAGTCTATTACAGTGATGGGTCAGCGTCAGATACTGTCCATCACTGCGTTGCTTTACTCTTCTTGTTTTTGCTTTTCTTGTCCTTTTTCTTCAAGCCATCCATGTTAGCTCTCAGCAAATTAGAATATGCCTGAAACAACAATTAGAACCATTAAAAGAACAGATACTTCATGTATATACCAGTTTACACATTGTTCATGGATATGTATCTTCATTTTCTCAGTTACAGACAGTCTTCCTCTACTACCCTGCGAAACTTGAAACCTGTTTCTAAACCAATGTAGAAAGTTGGACAAAACAACTGGATTGTTTTTCATGGATGGATGTGTGCAGTCTGAGATTAATCTGTATGTCAGTTCAGTGCTGAACCAACCGGGCTCCAGCTCTCCATTGCTCCTACTGCCTACTCCCCAATACCTACAGAAAAGGAAAATAGAAGGCTTACAAAACTTACCATCTGGAATTTATTTACTTCCTTTGAGCTCACCTACAAAAGTAATACCAGAGGTTAAACAAGAGAACGCTGGCTTCTATTACAAACTATCAGTACATATTCACCCACCAGTAGCTCTCTCTTTTCACAACAATGTCATGTATATGTACATATATACGTAGGCTGTACTAACATGCCATATTGTTTCACTGACTTAGAGAACTAAAAACACTCCTAATTAGATTAAGGCAATCCTCTGAAAGCTGTCCTTCCCAAATCCACGCGTTTTCACATAGGAAAGAGGTGAAGAAACATTCTAGTAAAGAATACTTGCTTTCACTATGAGGCCATACCTTAATTGTGGGTGGAAACACAAATCCTGGAATGAAATGCTATAGCCCAGATTCTCTCAACTATTTCTAAAAGTAATGCCTTCCCTTAGATTACATCACAGAGGACATTTAAAGTCAGCGAAAGCCTTTCCCAATCTCTTATTCAAAATAAACACATCAGGTTCCCAACTTCAAAAGTTAACATTTCCTGAAATACAAGAAGCTCTGTAAACGGAGGAGGGGGTAACTTAAACAAACAAAGAAACCTAGGCACGCTAAGTGAGACTGAGGCTTCAATATGTGCCCCATACCACATATTCTTGACAAGAAACAAGAATCCTTTTCCTACTATTTCAGACAGAGAACATTCCCCTGTTTCCTGGCTGCTCTAGTAATACCAGGCCTACCTTTGTTAATGCCATCAAGCTCTATAAGAAGCTGCCTCCATCACCTGAGGTTGACTGTAGGACCTTCCGCCCTGGATGTTTTCCTCATCCTGCAGATTTCATCACTGTCCTGTGGCTTTCTGCCCACACCATCCTTATCTCTCTAGACGCAGTTTCCCCTCTCCCTCCCTCAATACCCAAGGTTGTGGAAAACAGGCACATCCTTTTCTGCATGCTTAGTAATACCATTTTGGAGCAAAATCTGGTAAAGAAAGTACAACTAAACAATTGTCCTATCTGTAATACTAAGTGTAACATTTTGGCATCCCAATAGTGCCTTCAGCTACTTCCGTGTAGAACAAAGGGGGCAGTTCTCATGTAATCCACATAAGGCAGCTTCACTTAAATATGGGAGTGTTGCATAAAAGCCAAGTAGGGCTGCTCATCATTCTAACGCAGAGCTGTCACTCACCACTGTGCTGATTTTCTTCTTTCCATCAGTAGCTCTTAGAAGACACTTGTTGTCTGCTGGCTCGAAACTTTCTACGTGGCCTTTGCGTGGAACTGGTTTTGTTCGACCGTCATCTGTATTGGAAAACAGAGAACGTTTATTCATATTTCACTAAAATCACGTGATGCCTCCTGACCTGAGATACTAAAAATTGCTCACGAGATCAGTAAAACATCTTGGAATTTAGAGCAGCCTCAAATGAATGAAAACTTTTCAGACCCCTCCCTCTGCAATTGCAGAATGCTCCGTCACATAAACTAGCTCTGCCTGAAAAGAAAGCCGAGAAAAATACACAAACTCTCCCACAGACACGCTGTGCGGACCGCTTATTTCAGCAGCGCCACACTTCAAATGCGATTCAAACCACGGCCCTGGTACCTATTGCAGAAGCACAGCACGGCCCAGCCGGGGAGGAATCTCAGATCACAGCCCGCCCGCCCCTTCTTGCGGGAGCAGCGCCCCGCGGAGCCGCCACCACTCGTCCTGCCGAACCGGCAAGGTCTCCAGCGCCGGAGGACCGCCGCAGCCCTGAGGGGTCCCTCCAACCACCCTCCGTCCTCACAGCACGGAATTTTCCCGTCGCACCCAATTGGAACCCAACAATAACTATCGAGAAACCTAAGAAAGGTTAAGAATGCTTTAATTCTCCGTTTCCAGAAGCCTAGGAGCTCCCAATTAGCTTTTAACAACCAGAAAGCCCGCACGTCGCCTGCAGCTCGAAGTTCGGCCGCAGGGCGCCGGCTCCGTCCGTGCGCGCCAAGCTGCCGTTCGCCCTGACGGACACCCGCACCCCTAAACGCAACCGGCACGATTTAAACCAGCACCCCTCCGCGCCGCCTCCACGCCGAACACTTACATTTCTTCAGCGTTATGAAAACGCTCCCCGAAGTCCTGCACTTCTGGAAGAGTCTCGTCAGCTCCGTGAGGAACTGCAACACAAGCACACCACGGCGCCCGGCTGCGGATCCCGCCGCCGGCCCGCTCTCCCGGCGCCGCACACGCGGCCCACGACGAGGCGCGTGCCGGGCCCGGCGCACCCCGGGGTCCCGCCCGGCCTCCTCCCGCCGCGGCCGGGACGCGGACACCTCACGCGGCCGGCGAGCGGCCGGAGCCCCGAGCGCCGGGCCCCGAAGCCGCGACCGTGCGGCACGCGGCGCGGCCCCACCTGCTCGCTCTCCAGCAGCACCATCGCCCCGCTCAGCTCCACGCCGCGCAGCCGGGCCGGAAGCGCCGCGCTCGCTCGCTCACGCACGCGCGCAGAAGCGCATGCGCGGCGCCCCGGGAGCGACAGAGCGGGCCCGGCGTCTCGCGCACGGGGGGCGGGGCCGGCGCCGACCGCCCCGCGAGGCCCCGCCCCGCCGAGGGGAGCGCCACGTCAGCCCCGCGCCGCCGCCGCCACGCCCCGGCACGGCTCCTGCGGCGCTGCGACGCCGCGACGGGCGGGGCTTCGGCCGCCCGCCCGCGCCGCGGCCTCCTCGCGTGGCGCTGCGGGAGCGGGCCGTGAGAACGGCCGGGTGTGCCGCCCCCGGCAGCGCGTGGTCTCGGGCCTCGCCGCGCTCCTCCCGCGGAAGGGCGATTTGTTGTCCCTCCCCACGGACGCGGATGTGGAAGGAATTGCCCGCAGACAGAAAGGAGACGCGCGGGTGGCTGCTCGACCCCGGCGGCGGGCGCTGATCCCTGGACCCGGCGGCGCTGCGGGGAGGGCCGGCTTGCCTCCTCGCGTGGCCATCCTCGGAAGGGTCGCTACCCAGTGCGCTAAATACGTAACAAACAAGCAGTTCAGAAACAGAGCCCCGTCCCCAAAGCGACCGCTCTGGTGCCGGCAGTCGCTCGCTGTCTACTTGCAGACAAACCGCGAGGCAGCAGGGGGCGCTGTGATCGCGCACAGCCGGCGTTGCGCAGCAGCCCAGCCGGGGCCTCCCGTTCTCATGGCGGCCCAGCAAGCGCGCGCATCCAGCGCCGCCGTTCCCTCACCGTGGATGTGCTTATCCTCGTCGTGTTTTCCCCCTTGTGACAGCTGAGAAGGGAAGGTTTCAGATATACAAATTCACCTGGCTCTTTCTCGTAGCATAGAAGTCTTCTAAGCACTAAAGTGAGGAGCTTAGCTTGCTTAAGTCTTCCTGAAGCTGACATTGCCAGGAGACACAACCAGTGCTGTGCTCAGAGGTACAGACAGCCCAGAGCGCTGTCCGGGCTCAGATGGGGACGGTCCCTGCCCTGCAGCCTGCATCCACAGCGAGCCAAGGCAGCCGCTGCAAGGAGTCGCTGCTGGGATGCGCTGCCTCCAGTGCTGCCATCTGGGGAGCGGGCACCACCAGCTCCTCATTGCAGAGGTTGTTGTCAGGGTTTGATTTTCAGGAGAGACTTGAATGGGAATGCGGTTGTGTTGCAGATTTTTATAGGCAGCTTGTGAAAGCAAAACAGAAATGGAAAAACTAAAACAATTGCAACATACTCCTCCTTGGAAACTACCATGGCCACAGAAACCAGAAGGCAAAAGAAATGCACTTCACTCAGCTTGCCAAAAGAGAAGAAGGGTGGTCTTGTAGCTGAAGCACGGGGATTACAGCCCTCATCTGAATGCTGACCTCTCCGTGCACCAGTGAGTTCTTGTGCGGTCTCCTCACTTTCCTGTACCACAGCTCCTCTCTCCTGAAGACGAGGGAAGATGCATGTTTACTCTCTCTACTTCTTATTCAACAAAAACATTTAATGTTGCGGGATGAGCACAGTTTTCCCCCATTTTGCATGAAAATCTCAACCTGATGTTGGCAGCTGCCATAATTGTTTCCATTTTAACCTAGCTATCCAGGCAGCAGTAGCAGTGCAGCTACTGTATCAGGGGTTGTACAGTCCTTTGCAGGAATTTGTAGTGCCAGATGCTCTGATAGCAGTGTATGCTGGGAAAAGGGAGGAAGGGAAAACCTCTGTGAAGAAGCACTTCTCTGCAGACAGACAGACACTACTAATTCAGGAAGGAGAGTATTTCAGAGCAGAGGAGCAAGAAAAAGAAACCGCAAGTGGAGAGAGCACACATTCCAGGCAGTGGGAATACAGAGAAGGCGGAGACAACTGTTCAGAATTCATTGAAGACTGATGTGTGTTTCCAGCATGCAACTTACTGTATGCATTTAAAACATGAGAAAGGTTTAGGAATGCATGTTTTTGGAAGGCCCTTGTCTCATGATAGTTAATGTACCAAGATATGGGGGGAAAAAAAAGAAAACAACCTGAGAAATGTGCACCCAACATTCTGATTGTTCAGTTCCTCTTATCATTGCTTGGTGCCTGTAAAATACAGTTTACGAGCAGAGGAACTCTACCATCCCCTGTTCTCCACACAAGCACTCATGGATGTCCACATAATGTAGTTATCACTGCTATGCAAGTGTGGCAGACTCCTGTCTGTTCACAAGGTACGGGGATTGCTTTTGTACAAATTGAAAGGCCTTCCCTCTTACTAGGGGATTTTACTGTTACGGTATAGAACTCGAGAGACTTGTATAAAGTTTACATTTTTCAAATGTATTGTTTTATCAGCAGTTTTTATCTGAAAACCTTTGAGTCTCACTGATAATAAAAACAGCAATTCCACTGAATAACTGAATTTGTTTCCAAAAGAAGTGCAGCAGAGGTTTGGGGTTTTTTTATTTTGGTTTGGTTTGTTTTGGTTGTTTTTTTTTGTGAGCTTATCTTCCTGATCATGAAGCTGTTTTTCAAGCCAGAATGTCACAATTTAATTAGGGGAGAAGCCTTCATCACAACTTGCAAACAAGGTGAAAATGGAATATTTTTAATGATTCTTTTCCAAAAAAAGAGATGGAACGGGGGAATGCTGACACCGCTTTAATTTTGCCAAAGGTTGCCAACATTCGGAGGGAATAAGCTATTCAGCTGGTGAAAAAGTGCTGAACAAACACTGAAGGAGCTAAAGGGATACTCCCAATCACGATACACTTGCTTTTCACTTTATCTCCTGCCCCAGTTTAACACCTTCTCCCTCACGCTCTGCCCCCAGAAATAAATAAATAAATAAATAGACAAGAGAAGATGGGTTGGATTAAAACAGTAGCAAGAGGAATGGCTGGATCTTGAGAGTTGGCAGGGGCATTAGTATTTTGTAACCCAATCTGTCATGTGACTAGAGCCAGGCAATAAAAATAAGCTTCTACCAGCCCTCCTGTTTGCTCAACTTTATTATATGGTGTCAGTAGAGATTGACTTTTTTTTTCTTTCTTTTTGGCAAGAAATTAGCAAATGAAGCCACCTGAATCATTAAATCCTGAAGGAAATCTGGCAGGGAACTGGAGGAGGTTGCTGCTGTGCTTCCAAGTTTTCCTGGAAGCAAGCTTGTACTGAAAAGAAGCAGAGGTGAGACCTTCTCCTTTATTTTTATCAACTTTATTAGAAGGTGGCAAAGACCTATTTGAACAGACTAGAAAAGGTTACTTCTCGTTAGGGGCTGTCACACACTCGAATTCAGCTGCCACACACCACAGTGAAGAGAAATGTAATAACATACCATAAATTACCATTTGCTCACCACACTGCTCAAGATGTGTTAATAACAGATAATGACCCACAATTCACAAGTGGATCATTTTGGTAATTCACTTTGATGTGTAAGTTTAAGCACACCACGTCCAAGTATAACCATGCACAGGAAAAAGAATCAGCATTACAGCAAAACCCCAGTAATACACACACACTCTCCTTGCAAGTCTGTCATTAGCACTGTAAAAACAGAGGTGCACACCTCAGTGCCCTCCTAGCTTCACCAGATCTGAGATTAATGGATAAAGGAAAAGCTCTCTACAGCCAAAATTTAACAGCAGCTGCTTGGGCAGAAATACAGTTAACCCTGAGATAGCTACCAAAATGTCCGCCAGTTGTGTGCTGGGGAAATAAAGTAATTCTAATGAGCACAGTGAGCAGTTACTCCTTTCTCTAGTGATAGGTTGATTTCTGACACAGCAATTAGCAGGTTACATAGGTACAGGTGAATGTCTGCCCCCAAATCTGCTCTTAACCATTATAAGTGGGAAAAGTAAAGGACACGCAGAGGGGCAATGACCAGAGAGCTACTCAACACAACATATGTACACTAAGTGGTATTATTGGTGTGATCAGCTAATAATAGTGATAATGAAAATGGGGTTCTAAATGTGTTACAGATTCAGGAAGAGAACTAAAGAAGACATTTTGACAGCTCTTTCAGAGAGCAGGATATGCCACCAGGAAGCTTCTGAGGCAGAGAGGTCAGCTTCAGGGGAGAAGCTCTCCATAAGAATCGGGAGGTCTTCTGTCATGTCTTAGGAACAAGTTCTTGTGCCATGAGCTCTATCCTAAACACTGCTGTTTGTCTTCATGAATACCTCCTGTTTTATTTAATATTATTCCATAGCCTTGTTTTCAAAGAATTCAACTTTCTTTCATTGTGTAGCAGCAGTGTCAACTTTGATTTATTTTTTGTGAGGGAGACCAAGAAATAGAAATATTTCTAGAAACTCTAATGCATCACATTGTTACGGTAGAGAAAACTGGTAGTTTTCAGGGAACAGGTTTGGGGAGGTGTAAGTGGACCTGTGCGGGAAGTCGTGCCTGTAACGTGTGCAGCCAGGTCACAGCTCTCCCCTGTAGGCTGCAAAGAACCGCTGTGCTGTGCCGTGCCTCACACTGAGGGGTTACACAGCCTCAGGTGGAGGCTGCACGGCTGAGAGCTCTGTGCCACGTGGCACAGCCATCCCAAAGTAGTGACCCAACAGTGGCATCCCTTTGGAATCTAGGCAGATGGGACACTTGTGTAAAGCAAGCCAAAATGACCAGGTCATGGTCCCACACTTGCCATACATTTTCCACAGCCAACATTATAATAACTTGGCAGCTATACTTCATTTATTTAATACTCTTAAAGCAAGCATATTATCAATACTTAGGGATGTGAGTTTCAGTGTGCACCTCCCTTACATTTTTTTAATATTACTGGAATACTATAGCAGGTACTGAATTGAAAGACCCAGGCCTGTGTTTGAACCCGGAGGAAGTTTTGCATGAAGTTGAAGCACATCTCATGCACACACTTTGAGGTGTGGACTTTCACACAAGAAACTCAAAGACTTTCTGAATATAAGCCATCAAATTCATCTCTCTTGCAGTCTCACTGATGTCAGTACAGTCATAGTGAGATACAGGAGGTCAGAATTTGGTAGCTGTTCGCATAACTTCTCTCTTTGGAGCTGTAAACAATAAACCACAATTTTATTAGGGTTAAAACTTTGCTATTATCTTTAAATAAGTTTCACGATATGACCTTGAAATCTGGTTTCTGCGGATCTTTCTAAGTCATCTGGGAACTGCAACAAGTTGTCTGCAGTGCAGAGAAGGCCTGTACAATATGATGCACCTTCTGGGTGCTCTAGAAATGATATTTACCAAACCTCACAGCTCATCTCCCCAGAAAAGAGAAGATATATAATCATCACTTCATTTTGTACAGCAGATTTTTAAGCAGACATCGAATGTCTGGTTAAGAGCTGTGCAAAGCATCAGGGAGGTAATTAAGCTGGAGCTCAAGAGTAATGAGGTGACAGAGATTGTGTTGAGCATCATTTCTTTCACGTTGATGTGTCCTACTTTAAGAAACACAGAAATGCAGTTGTGAAAAATTTCCACCAGACGATCCCACTGAGGTTATGGGATATTTTTTTCTATGTACACATTTAAGAGACAGGTTGAAGAATATCACACTATGTTGAAAGGCAAGGCAAGGCAAAGCAAGGCGAGGAGGAAAAAAAACAAAAATCAGTCAATGGGAATATGGGAATTCTAGGTCAACAGAATGTCACTAAGGAGGACAACATTGTCCTTGATATCAGAGAGCACAAGGGAATGAATCATTATAAAAGGAGACACAAGGTCCTTCTCAAAAGGACAGGCTTACGAGCAGCATATTTCTCTTGACACTGTGGGGTGTTGCTTTCTTAGGAAGAAGAGGATCACCTATGAACTCACCAGCACCATTTCCTATCTCTGCTGAGACTGCCTAAAGAAACAAGACCTGGCTGGACTTCTGAGGTTTAGGGATCACAACATGAACTGCCGTGCCTGTAAAACAGTGTTTTCTTCACAGCCTGTGTGAGAATGCCTGACGTGAGAGCTGCACAGCAGAACAAAGAGATAATCAAGTTAGCTACCAGATGAGTGAGGTGACAGAGATTGGCTGAGACACTATTGCTCTCATTTCCACAAGCCCTCAAGTTGCATAAACAGAGACAGTTTTGACTGTCATAACCAGATACTTCCAGTATGACTCCCTTCTTTTAAGACTTGCCAAGTTTACCTGTTTATTCAAGTTTTACTTGTATTTTTCGTCTTCCCTAATGCTCCTCCAAATATCCAGATACTTTCTAGGAACAGTGTGGTGGGGAGGCCACTCCAGCAGCTAGTAGCTGGGCTGCACTCCCTGGGTCAGAGGCTGGAGGCAGCAGTTTCCTGTTTTGCTGGTATTCAATGCCATTTAACAATAGGGGGAAAGAAAAAAACTGCAGGACCTAAGCATAGCAAAGCTGTTTTCTTCATGAGCTGTCTGCCTGTTCCCCGCTCTGCCCCAGGCTCACCCCCACTTGGTGGCCCTGCCTGGCCAGAGGAAAGGAGGCAGCAGGGAAAAGAAGCAGAGGCACTGGATCCTGAGGGAATGAGCGCTGGAAGGCATTTCTGCCATACAAGCAGCCTGAACAGCTTGCCAGCTGGTCTGAAATAGCAGACTGAATATTGCTAGTTTTTGTCCTTCCTCCTGCCTCCCGTGAGAGAGAAAATGAGATCCACGTGCAGCACTTCTGGAACATCACAATCAGCAAGAATCACGCATGCCTTTTTACAACTCAAAGTGTATTGTCCTTCCTAGTAGATGGTTTTAACTCTGTTTTGAGATAAGGATTTTCAGTAGTGGTCCATTCATTTGAGTAGGAACTGCTCTAACAGAGATTCTTCACTCTGCCTTTTTCAATGCCACCTTTCTCTAGTAGTCTGCTCAGTGCCAAATCCCTAATCCATATTTATCAGTTCACAACGTTCCTTTGCTCTCCTGCTCTCCTCCTCCTATCTCCATTCTCAGACAGTATCCCTTGCTACCATGCTGGAGCTTGGCTCTCGTGATCTCTGTCAAAACCCAAATCTTACCTCATTTACTGGCCTTATTTTTCACAAGGATCTCCTGAGATTAAGGGTTGCAAGGTGTAGCTCTGTAAAGTAGATTAATGTAGGCATTGTAACTACAACTGGAGTTACTCAAAAACAGGAAACTCAGGTATGAAAATAGTAATTTGAGTTTGTTGCTATCCCTTTCCCTGTATTTCAGCATCCCCCTGTTTTCCTGAATACATGTTGTCTTCAGACACACACTGAGCGGCAGACAGGAGCCCCAGGGAGATTAGAAGTAGTAGGCTCTTTGTTAGCACTCAGGCTACAGAAATACCAAGTGAGTCATCCCTGCTTGCAGTAGCAGGTAGCCCTGCCATCACCAATCACAGATTCTTAAATACAAACCTGCCAAGGAAATTCTCAGAAGGAATGCAGGTACTATAAATGCAATCCCTTTGTTATAGCCCACAGCCTTAAAAACCTGTGACAAGTCCTACAGCTTTCAAAGCTCAGGAATGGCACTGTTTGATGATTCAGGCATTCAGATAGTGCGGTAGGTTTACAGAACTGTGTACCAGAAACCTCCACATCAGTGGATTTTTTTTCTTTTTCTTTTCCTTTCTCTTTTCCTTTTTTTTTTCTTTCTCAGAAAAAAAAAAAAAATGATTAGGTTACAATACCAGCAAAGAGGAGGAACATTTCCAGGATTTGAACTGCCAAGAATATTGTGATTTTTTGCATAGAGCTCAGTCAGCGAGACATACTAATGTAGGAAGTCTACCATGCTTAAACCTTACAATGACCAAACAGTATTTTATCATCACCTGAATATAGCAGAAGAGATAAAATTCCACTGAAGAATGCTCTCAGTCCTTATGGGGAACGTCAAAGTTAAAGTCTCTTCCAAAATCCTCTCTTCATCTATGCTAAAGTTTTACCTAGCATTGTTTTGTATTCAAATAATGCTTTCCTCTAACCTTCATCTTTTTCTTCTTTGTTTTTCTAGGCAAGGTGGAAGAGTATGGTTAGAACAATTCTCTCAGAAGGCAACCATCACCTGTCATTTATGTTTGTGTGTCCTTACCTACGGTGTGCTTCCTGGGAGCATCCCATAGTGCTTTTGAGGGAGGATCAAGAGTAATGGGCAAAGCAGTGGCATGACAGCAGCTACACACGGAGCTGTCCTTGCTATCCTGAGTGTTGTGTTGTGCTCAGTGCTGTTAGGACAAGTTAGTTACCAAGCTAAAGGAAGATAATCAAGATAGAGAACAGCATCATTATTCGTAAAGATATCAGTTGCTATTTCAGGTGCCTGTTGCTCTTGCCCAGCCAGTTTGGTTGTTACTGGTGTATTAGTCATCTGACCACATTTAACATCAATCTTTCACTCCTCATTATGCACTCAGCTACAAGCTGTAGTATAGATTGCTCCTTCCTGTAATTACAGTATATAACTCATTGCTATCTATTGTGTCTAGAGCTCAGATTTCAGAAACAAATTAATTAATTGCACTTTCTGCACTTCTAGGCCGAGATAAGACTTTTTTGCTACTTTTCAATAAAAGGCTCAGCTTTTTCCCTAGCACAAACTGTTTGCCATAATAAGGATCCTGTCATCCTCTTCATTTAGAGGCAAGTAACAGGCATTTTATCTTCACAGGGCGCCTGATTATCAGTATTATACAGTTATCTTTTGGCAGAGAAGTCCTGGCAGCAAATAGCCTCTTCAATCTGAAAGTGATTAGCAGTTCTGCACCAGGCATGCAGCAGTGGCGAGGCAGCCTCCCAGTGCACGCTGCAGCTGGGGCTGCGGGACATGTGCCTCTCCAGAAGTCAAGTGCTTCTCCATTTGCCGTGGCGACAGGCGTAGTATTTCATGCCTGTCAGTGGCGTGTGAGTTGAAGCACTGGATATGAATCCAGTGACAACTGGTTTGCTGGATGGTAAATGTCAGGGTGGCCTTTGGACTGTCCAAACACAAGAGTCTAGAGAAAACTAGCATTTTTGTATATCTGTAAATAAGGACTTTCTCGCTCTGCAGATGACCAGACTCCAAACATGGCTTTCCCAAGATCCTCCTAGAGATGCAGCTGCTCAGGCTCATGCTCAGGCTGCAGGAACTAGCTTCAGACAGGCACCAGAAAAAAGGTGCTATTACCACCCAGCTGAGCAGGGTGTTCCTCCCATGAATGATCTGATCACGTTCATCCTTTTATTTTCCTGTTATCCCACATACTATTTTTTTTTTGAGGATTTGTTTACATTTCTTTTTGCCTTCCATTTTTTTCCCTTCCTTTCCCCTCTCCTTTTCTCTCCTCCTCATTATCCTCACTTCTCTGTTCCTAATTGCTGTTCTTCACTATCCCTTTTGTCAGTGTGCCTGGCTGTCACCCAGGAGGATTTCACCATGAGAAGCAGCAGTGACTGCCAGCTTTGGGAGAGTCCTTCTGCTATTCAAGACAGAATTGTTCTTGCACTGGAGGAACCTGAGAAGAAACAGCCATTGCCGGTGGGAGAGCTGTTGTGCTATTTCTGTTAGTGTGCAGTCAGTCAGGGATATTGTGGGAGTGAGGCACACCTCTATAAAACAATGGTTGCTTTCCCAAAACACTCACAGTTTAAGTGATGACAGTGTTCTTTCAGAAACCAAGCACACTTAAAATCTCTAGTGAAATCTGACAGAGAGTGAGCTGGGGAAGTCCCACTGCATGCGGAATGAAAGTCCCATCTCTCCGGGTGAGAAAGAAGACGTGTATCACTTTCTCTCCTTTACTCCACTGTTTTGCTGCTGATTGGAAGCTGCTGGACGAAACCAAGATTTCAGGGAAGGTACAGACTGCAGCTTGTTCTCAGCTGATCCTGTTGCAGGGAGCAAGTTCCTGGCTATTCACAAGCAGTAAAAATAAACAGTCTGGGGAAGGCAGGGAGGAGGGAGAGAGACTGGCAGGTACTGAGAAAAGAGTAGGAGCTACAGCAGCTGGTGTTTTCTTTGCTGGTTCTTTTCAGAGGATTTAGGCAGGTTGGAGATGTAAGTGATTAATGTTGAATGATAGCACCTTGCCCCCCTCCTCTTTTTGGAAGGAACACAAGTCTTTATGCGTATCGCTGTTCCCTCAGCTTTAACCTTTCCAAGATTTACACACTCCATCCACTCTGGTGCAGTGCTGTGGGGCTGACAGCACATCTGGGTGTATTAACTGTACACTCTGTGGTTTTTACAAATGTCTAGGGTTTGTTCTAAATGTTTTGAAAGGCTGCTCTCAAAGCCCTGAGACTTCCCCCTTGGAGCTGACCAGACTGAAGACAATGTACTGCTACACAAATTGCAGATGGGTGGTTTTTCTAGCTGCTGCTTCTGTGCCAACCCTCCTGCAGTAAATGGCATAACTAGAAACTGCCGAACTCCAGTAAAACTTCCCTCCATGATGGCTCCTGGATTGCTCCAGGACAAAGCACATTTGGGATGGAGAGACAAGAACCAGAAATCTTTTTCTGTCCTTCTTCATATGTATGTCAGCTGTTTGGACAGGTACATCCAGTTATCCTGCCCCAGCTCTACTCAAGGGCAATGGCATCACAGCATACTCCTGTGCCATCTGAATCAGAAGCCTGCTTTGATCTTGCCTTTCTGGCACTGGAGATAAGCACACAACAGTTATTGACAGGCAAGGCAGATCTGTAGCTTCTATCATCAATAAAAAAAAGAGTTTCAACATAAAATTTTGGTTGTACCTTAAAGAACGAGGTTCCCACCATGAACAAAAGTTAAGGAGACTTTTTTAATCCTTCATCTTAAGCAGGCGTGGTGGAGGTTTTAAAAAAGTAAGAGTGTGCTAATGAAAATTAATGAAGACACAAGGTTGAGATGTCTCATCAACAGAGAAGATGAGCATAATATCAGGAAAAAATCTAATGACTTCAGAAATTCACAGAAGGTCATACACCTAAATAATAGGAGATCCTGCTGCAAAGACAGGAACAGATGTGGAAGACAGTGGTGAAGAATGATCAAGATGTACTTACCCACTGCAGGTAACCAAGCCAGCCACGGGAAAGGTAAATGCAATGACAGGATGTTTTAGACAAGATACTCTGAACGATTAGAAGAGCATTACTGCCATTATGTAAAGCAGTACCAAAATCTAATGCATAACAGCATGCACTATTGTCACCCATATTTACAATAATTCAGACTAAAGCAAATGATCAGGGAAATGTAGAGTCTGTGTTAGAATATCATAGAAAAACTCTGACTTATACAGCAGCAAACCATTGAAAACAGGTGAGCAGTGATGGGAGTCTTTAAATATGTCTGAGGAAAAAACACCAAGAGCAGAAAAACAACTACTTAAATTGAAGCATGACCTTAAAACAAGAACAAAGTGGTATGAAATAATGACTCAGGAGAATCAGCTTGTATTAAAACTTTCTATTAGATTTATTAATGGCTAAGCAGAAAACAAGCTCAGAATGGCAATTCACAATTAATTAGCACTGCCTTCTGATGTGGAAAACCCAGTAGGTCCCTTTCTATCCCAGGTTCTTAATGTGGACTTTCTAAATGCTTATGAATTAAGAACAGCATGTGTGTTTACTCTGCGTGATTTAGCTGTGATGATCAGGACATTGATTATCACCCTTTTAGGTCCTGGGAGGAGAGCTGAAGTTTTTCATCAACTTGGTTAATATCCAGACCAGGCTGAGGGGGACTGAAGGAGAACTCATGCTTTACCACGTGGCTATTGGTTGGTAGCTGCTTTGGAAAATGAACTGCTGTTTCATGGCATCACCACTGCCAAATGATAGTTTTGCTGGCAATCTTTCTAGAAAGGCCAAAGATTGACTGGATGTGGAGAACAAACAAGCCAGTAGCTTGGTGCATTTAGCAGTGGGTGTTGGGTGGAAATTACACCGTGGTCAGCTGACTTTACCTGTCCTGATTTCAGAAAAAGCACCCTGGTCTCCAAGACTGCCAGCACATTCCTTAATTGAACTTCCCCATTGAAAACATGACCTGAACCATTCTGGATGGCAATGCCTTGTTATTTTTAGGTAGTGTCTGGCACATGTGATGATCTGCCTGCGAGGTACATGCATGTACATGCATTTCACATCTTACTTCTGACTTGGCCCCGATTTATGAAGGCATGAATTACATGTTTGCCATGCAGATGCCCCTCTGTTGCGCCTCCCTGGCGCATACCGAGACACGCTCATCTCTCAGTGTGTGCTGGGGCGGGAGCAGAGGAGCCCTGCTGAAGGCCGAGTTAGTCACAGACGTACTGGAGGTTTCTTCACTTTGAGATCCAAGACTGGCTTTTGCCAAGACAAGTGCTGGCACATCCCACAGCAGAAAAGGAGGGGAGCACGGAGGAGGTGAAGGGGGGAGGGAGGAGAGAAGACCAGAAGACACAACTGATTATTCTTTTTTCTACTGCACTGGTCCTGTGAGAAAGGAGGAATTTATAATGCATGTACACACTCCAGGATTTTCAAAGACTGTCTTCAGCTATATATCATGTTTCCAGGGGTCAAATGTTTATGCATTTTGTCTACAATAGTAAAAACGTGC